TGATTAACAATTAACAATTCAAAATTTTTCTAATTTTTCTTTTTTTAATTATGAAAAACTCAGAATATGAAAGTCAATATTTATCAGGTTCTAGTGTTGGTAATGATAACGTTTAAGCCCAAATCACTATAGACATGTGAGGAGATTGGGATTATGTTCAACACCAACACAGGTATTTAGACATTTTTGTTCAAGTCAAGGCACATTAGGCCCCTTTGCAGAAAATGAATTTGATCAAATGAGAGTAAGGATGTCACAAGTTGAAGAATAAAACAAAAGATTGCAAGAGGAGTTAGCTTTAGAAAGAGAAAGGATGGCTATGGAAAGGGAAAGGGAAAGGGAATGGGAGGAATGATTTTTGATCATGTAAAAGAAAATGGAAGAAAGATTTATGCGGTTGATGAAAGAAATGAAATGGCAAATGCGACACTTTAATTCAGTAATTACGCTTAACTTGTTTTATTTATACTTTTTTCATCTTATATTTTCTAATGCTACCTATTTGTTTTTATTTATAGGATTCATCTTTCAATGCTAGTTCAAACAGTATGTCAAATATGAATTTGAACAATTCTTAGGCTCTTTTTATGAATGAATTTTCTTTTTGAAATCATTATTTGTAATGAATTAATAAATATTTTTTTTTGTTTTCTTTATGTTTAACTTTGCTAAAACTTTGGTGAAGAATGTTTTATTAAATTGTTTTTGAGTTATAATATTCTCCTTATGGGTATGATAGTGTATTAATAATATATAATTTTTTTGTCAGGAATAATATATAAATTATTTGTATTGATATTAACAACATAACTTTCATAATCTTATACTTAAATTTTGTTTAACAAATAAAATTTTTTTATCGCAAATATAATATACTTATTTTTATATAAATATTGTTTGGTTAAAATTAGAACTATAAAAAATTAGCATAACAAAATATATTTAATTATATAATGATGATTATGTTAGAGTAATTTATTCACAATCATTATTTCTGTACAGTATAAAATAAAATAATTTTTTAAATTATTAAGACTAATTAATTTGTTAAAAATTAATTAATGAGTTATAATTAATATTATGAATGTTATTAACTTAAATTTATAATTAAACTACATAAAAATAGTTAATAATATAATAATTTTTTTGTTAGGACTATTTAATTATTTTTAATTATTAATAAAAGTATTTGATTTTATTGATATAAAATAAAAAATAAAACAATTAAATTAAATTATTTTTAAAAATTGATAATGGCTCATGTTGAGCCACATTTTTATAAAAAACGTGGCTCAAAGGCACATTTTTTTTCAAATTTTCATACACATTTTTTATGAAAAACGTGACTTTATCTGCTTTTATATATATCTCTGTCTGTTTTTTTTTTTTTTGTTGCTCGCCCTTTATTTATTTCTCACCATATCTTATCTTCTTAGGTTCTCTAATCCTCCAACTCTGATTTCTTTTTTTTTATGTAAGTTATTTATCATTTTATTAATTTTTTTATTTCGTTTCTTATTTTATTTTATTCTACTTGTCTTTTTCATTTGTTTTAAATTTTTTATTATATTTTTTTTCTGTTTTACAGGTTGTGAAATCTAATATATTAATAAGATATTTAAAATATTGATTAAAAATATTTTAAAAATAGAAAAAAATATATATACATCAATCAATAACAAAAATAATTTAAATAATTTGGATTGATAATCTAATCAAAAAATAATTACAATTTAATTATCGAAAACAATTTAAAAATTAAATTGTGTGAAATAATTTTTTCAAAATATTATAAAAAGTAACAATCTAATATAATAATTTGTAGTATTTAAATAGTTCAAAAGGTTGTGAAAAAGATTTAAATTTTCAAAAGAAATTTATCAAATTTTATTTAATAAAATAAGTCAGCAGCCACATTTAACATGATTTTAATATAATAATATGTAATATTTAAATTTTTGAAAATTTTTTAAAATATATAATTTACTGTAAAAAATGTTACTAATTTTTTTAAATAAAAGTAATGAGTCACGCTTTTTTTTTTTTTATAAAAAAAGTAGCTCTAAGCCTCACAGCCACGTTTTTTGAAAAAACATGGTTGAAATCTGACAATATGTTAGATTATCAATATTCACATTTTTTTTTTCCCAAAAAGCGTGGCTTGGAGGCACATTTTTTTGAAACCATGGCTTACTTTTTGCCATAATTAAAATAGCCACTTTTTTTTAACTGTTAGTATGAAATTTTGTCATATTTAAAAAACGTGACTACTAAATGAATGAAACCATGGTTAAATACTAGTTTGATTGTAGTGTGAATTATAGGAGTTAAAATTTAAAAATTAAATTATAATCGAGTTAAAATTTTAGAGACTAAATTATAATGAGTCAAAATTAAAAGATTGAATTATAGATAATTGAATTAAAATTATAAAAATTAAATAATTAATTTTCACGAATAAGCCATAGTTGCCAAGTCATCGCCCACAAATCAAAACCAACGTGCGTGTGTGCCTCTCTCTCTCTCTCTCTCTCTCTCTCTCTGTCTGTGTGTGTGTGTGCGTTATTTTCCCGAACGGTATATCAACAATCTATATATTTTATAAGATTGACAATAGTTAGTTGAAGTGACATTCTCTAAATGCAATGGCTACGCTTGTTTGAATATTGTTAAAGTTTGATTCTTTCCGCGTTTACTTCTGAGTTATTATTAATTAATTTATAAAAGCCTGTATCTTCCTTGTAAAAATAAAATATAAAAAAAATATGTTTGACGGGTTAATAATTCTTAAGAAACTGCCATGTTACTTAATTTAATAAATAAAAAAATTTTAATTGATATAAATTGTTTGTTAATAATAATCTAGATGGGAATTCTCGGCTTGCACATGGATACAAGTTTCAATTTTCTTGATTAAAAAATAAAATAATTCAAAAATCCTGTTCGGTGAAATCCCTCTATTAATAGATTTCCTAGCGTCCAAGATTTAATTGAGTAATTTTTAATATGAGTAAAATACTTTTTAAAAAATTGCTTCAAGCATGGGAATATGCATGCAATAGTTACATGGGACACCTCAGCTTTTAGTCGCTTTCTTTACCGAAAATAAAATATTACCTCAAAAGTAAAATTCAAAATATGAAACTAGCTGGATTAACATGAGTTATATAAAACAATACTACTTCTCTCATTTTAAATTATAAAATATAAAAATTTTTGATAAAAGTAAAATTTTATTAATATTATTTTTTAATATTACTTTTCTCATACATCCCCTCTATTTAATATTTTTTTATAAATAAAGTATTAAATGAATAGTATTTTTAAATGTTTGTATTTTTATTTTAAAAATGTAAAGTTATAAAGTGTCAGGACACGACTAACAAATGAAAAGAGAAAATACGATCATAAAACAGGACACGACTACTTTGTTTACAGTTTATATTAATGATACAGCCACTGAGACTGGGGAAATAAAGGAGAAGAATAAAAGAAAGTGTCTTCCTTTTAATTTTCTTTTTGACGAAATTTTACTTTATTTTTTTTTTGGGGTAATCAGTGGGCTTTGAAATGCCCAGTATTATTCTGATGAAATTTTACTTTATTAAATAAAGATTATATGAGCAGCAAAATGAGGAAAAACCTTGAATTATTTTGGTGATTATAACTTCCTTTTTTTCTTTTTGAAAAAAGAATCAATTCGGCATAGCAGCCATATGGAAAATAAAATCCACAATTTTAGATTAAAATATATAAGAAAATTATAATAATTTTTAATGACGACATATTGTCAAATTTTTAGAGATTTATTGCAAAAATTTAATTTTAAGAAAAATTAATGGTAACATTTAAAAATTTACAAATAATTCTTTGATTATTATAGAATGTCTTGTTTTTTCACCAAAAAATATATATGTTTTTCATTATAATGAGATACTTAAATTTTTTAAGATAAAAAATGGAATATAAGAGCTAAAAAAATAACATTATGTTAAAAGAATTGTCACTTAATATGATCTTGTGAACACTAATTTACACTAAAGAAATTGTTTACTAATATCTTAAGATATATATATATATATATATATATAGGGAGAATAACAAATAAATCCCACAAGCAAATAAGTACCATAAAATGTAGTAATTATTTTGTAGTCTCTAGGACTTTGTCTGACAAATTTTTTCTAGCCCTAAGTAAAACAATAAAAAGCAAAGGTTTTAATAAATAAACTAGAGTTATTAATACTAAAAGTAAAATTGTTAGTATATGAAGTGTAGTTGTTAGTTTAGTTATATAATATTATATGCACGTTTTTTATATTAACAACTTTAGCTTGATAATTAACAATTTCAGTTTAATTATTAACAATAAAGTTAGTCATAATTTTAATTTAGACATATAATAACAACTACATTTTCTATGTTAATAATTTTACTTTTGTTATGAACAACATTAATTTAAATTTTAACAACTATATTTTTTTATTATTTCATAGAGGATTATAAACATAATTTTTCAATAAATTATGACAGATAAGTCGGAATCTTAAAATAACTACCCATGGTACTATTTTTATTTACCATTTTCTTTATATATAATAGACAACATTTAAAATATAAATAACGTTATTCATGAATATGATAAACTAGATGGGAGGCGTGCGAATTAAATGAAGTCCCACATGCCTTTATCTATCTATACATACATACATATATTATTAGCATATAAATAGATATACAAATGTTATATATAAATATTTTTAACATATTGTAATTATAATTTTACAATATTTTAAGATGAAATTTGTGAAATTTAAGTTTATAATTTTAGTCCCATGGCATGAATCTCATTTCTAACTTTCCTGAAAAGAAGGGCAGCCTGGCAAAGGATCGAGAGAGTCGCAACTATCTGCTCGGTTCTTACACAGACAGGGGTAATTTTGTCATTTCACTCTCTGATATCATACACAAATTGAAGTGGTAGAGTGAGAGTGGAAAAAATGGTTAAGAGGAACTGAGGGAGAGAGAAAGGTGAATCTTTTAGAGAGAGTGAACAAAGAGTCCTTGTGTGGCCACTCTGGAGACAGGAAAACCAACTCAAATTATTTGGTTTTCTGTAAATTCGTCTGCTTCGTCAATCTCCATGTTCTTCTTATTCTTTCTCTTTTCAATTATTTCTCTGTAACTTACTACTCTGATCTGCATATTCCTTCAGTTTCTTTCTCTCTCTAGTCGTCTTCTTCCTAAGTCGGTACGTTAGCATTTTCTCAATCCGCTGACTGACTCTTCCTCAGACTGTATCGCTCTCCTTTTCGCTTCTTCTGTTGCTTGGAAACCTTCAACCCTATCACCGCTTCCGCCATGTCGACGAAATCTAGGTAAATGGTGCTCGGTGTTTTTGGAGGTGCTTGTGTACTGCGAAGATCTGATTTGTGCTTTTGAGTTGCTTTTTTTGCTGGGAAATTAGGTGTGGGGTTTACTTTAAACTTGTTGCTTAATGAGTTAATGGGTTTGATCTGTGGATTTGGCACTTATTATGCGGTTTTAATCGAAATTTCCACACCGGCAAAGTTTCCCCCCAATCATTTTCCGTCTTTTCGATTTAGATTTCAATGTTTTTGGTCTTCTGTCTGATATCTGAGTAAAGTTTAGAAAATGGGTTTCACTTAGTATGTGTTATTTTTGCTAGTTTTTGATTTTTGCTGATTTTAGTTGTCTCAGGTTTTCGTGATCCCCAACAGTTTTTAATTTTTTCCCTAGAGTTAATCTCTGGCTCTCAATTCATCTTTATCTTAGTTCTTTGATGAGTATGGCTTCTGAAAATGTCGTAGTTACTATTTTTGGGTTCAGATCCATGTATACATGATTGGACTGGACTATAAAAATTCTGCATTTCGTTCATATATCTTGTCCCTTACATTTCATTTAATTTGATATTGATATGGTGTCAAAATTATGGATTTGTTAGATCTAGTTTATCTGAAACTCCCAACAAGGCGTCGCCTGCAACACAAACTCCGAACAAGACATCACCTGCAACGCCAAGAGTTAGTAAACTCAGCAAAGGAGTGCCCAAAGCAGAACCTGAGTCCCCATCACCTTTACAAAATTCACGCCCTTCTGTTGAACGATCGCCACGATCTGTGAATTCAAAGGTCACTGTCGAGCGCAAATCACAAAAACTCGGCACCGCGCCTGAGGTAAGTTATAGTAACTGTACATTGTACTGTCTGTGTGTGTGTTTGTTTCATTTTTTTTCTTGGCTTCATTACCAGATATTTAGCTACGCTGGAGTTGGTTTTTCTGTTGTTTTTCCTTTTCTGTATTTAGATAAAATTTTCAACTTTCTTGCGACATACAAGAAGTCTAACGAAGAAACATCTGGTCTGTACAAGTTCACTTAAGTGTCGGTTGTGCTATTTTTCTCCTGCAGGATTTCAAACTTCAGGTGAATAAATTTTATCCGGAAAGGAAACTTTTTAGATTTCTGAAATTCAAGTGGCTTCTTATCCTGTAATCCGAGATTTCCAAGATTCCTTTTACTATCTCAATCTGGCGATATGCATTGTTCGAGTTTTCAGCAGTCACGCATTTCTTTAAAAGTTGTACGTACTCTAACATGCATTTGTTGTATTCCTTGATTTTCAGAAGCCACTTCCAAGAGTTGCTAAGGGTTCAGAATTGCAGACCCAGTTGACTCAAGCTCAGGATGATCTAAAGAAAGCAAAGGAACAGCTGATTCAAGTTGAGAAGGAGAAGGGAAAAGCAATTGATGGATTGAAAGAAGCGCAGAGAGTGGCTGAGGAAGCAAATGAAAAACTCAAGGAGGCATTGATGGCTCAGAAGCGGGCTGAGGAGAACTCTGAGATTGAGAAATTTCGAGCTGTTGAACTGGAACAGGCTGGAATTGAAGCTGTAAATAAGAAGGAAGAAGAATGGCAGAAAGAGCTTGAAAGTGTGAGGAACCAGCATGCTTTAGATGCTGCTGCTCTTCTCTCTACCACTCAAGAGCTTCAGCGAATTAAGCAAGAACTTGCCATGATTACTGATGCAAAGAACCAGGCGCTAAGTCATGCTGATGAAGCTACTAAAATTGCTGAGATTCAAGTGGAGAAAGCTGAAACTCTTTCAGCTGAATTAGCTCGGGTGAAGTCTTTATTAAATTCAAAGCTTGAAACAGAGGCTGGAGAAAATAAGATTGTATTGGAGCTGAAAACTGAGATAGGAAGTCTCAAACAAGAGCTTGAAAAAGCAAAAGATTATGAGGCAATATTAACCAAGAAAGAGATTTATATCGAACAACTTAATGTGGAGCTTGAAGCTGCAAAGTTGGCAGAATCTTATGCCCACAGTGTGCTTGATGAGTGGAAGAAAAGGGTCGAGCAGTTAGAAGCAAAGCTTGAAGAAGCAAATAAGTTGGAGAGATCAGCATCAGAATCGCTGGAATCTGTAATGAAGCAGTTAGAAGGAAACAACGATTTGTTACATGATGCAGAATCTGAAATTGCTACACTCAAAGAAAAGGTGGGTTTGTTGGAAATGACAATTGGCAGGCAAAAAGGTGATCTTGAGGATTCAGAGCATCGACTTCTCATGGCTAAGGAAGAAAGTCTTGAAATGTCCAGGAAGATTGAGCTTGTGGAAGCTGAACTTGAAACAGTGAAGGAAGAGAAAGCCCAGGCTTTAAATAACGAAAAGCTTGCTGCTTCTAGTGTGCAGACTTTATTAGAAGAGAAGAACAAACTTATCAATGAATTGGAGAATTCTAGAGAAGAAGAAGAAAAGAGTAAGAAGGCAATGGAAAGCTTAGCTTCTGCATTACACGAAGTGTCTGCTGAAGCCAGGGAAGCCAAAGAAAAGCTGTTAACTAGCCAAGCTGATCATGAAAACTATGAGACCCAGATTGAGAATTTGAAGTTGGTCTTAAAAGCTACTAATGAAAAGTACGAGTCTATGTTACATGACTTGTCTCAAGAAGCCAGAGAAGCTAAAGAAAAGCTGTTGTCCAGCCAAGCTGATCGTGAAAAAGATGAGACAGAGATTGAAGATTTGAAAGCAGTCTTAAAAGCTACTAATGAAAAATATGAGGCTATGCTTGATGAGGCAAGGCATGAGATTGATGCTCTTACACATCACATTGAAAAATCTAAAGACGACTTTGAGGAGTCCAAGGTTGAGTGGGAGCAGAGAGAAGTTCATTTAGTCAACTGCATTAAGCAAACTGAAGGACATAACTCTTCTCTGGAAAGAGAATTGGGTAACTTGGTTCAATCACTCAAGGAAAGTCAGGAAGAAGCTTCTGTCAGAAAGGAGGAAGAAGCTCAGCTGAAGGAAAACCTGAAGGAGGTCGAGGCTGAGGTGATTCACTTGCAGGAAGCTCTTAAGGAAGCAAAGGCTGAGAGCATGAAATTGAAGGAGAGTTTAATGGATAAAGAGAATGAGTTGCAGAGTATTGTCCAAGAAAATGGGGAACTCCGAACTAGCGAAGCTGCTTCTATTAAGAAGGTGGAGGAGCTATCTAAATTGCTTGATGAAGCTACAGCCAGAAACAAGACTGAGGAAAATGGCGATCTTAGTGACAGCGAGAAAGACTATGATTTGCTTCCTAAAGTAGTTGAATTCTCTGAGGAGAATGGGCATGCAGGAGAAGACATATCCAAGGTAGATGTTTCAGCCAATCGGGAGGGATTAAGGCAAAACTCGCAGGAATCAAGTATTATCTTGAATGACAAGTCTGAAAAAACTGAATCCCCAAAGCATGAGCATGCGAATGGAAAATCAAAGGAAGATGAGAATAAAGAAAAGGATGATTCAGTTGAAGATGAGTTTAAAATGTGGGAGAGCTGTAAGATAGAGAAGAAAGAGTTCTCACCAGAGAGAGAGCCAGAGCCTGAGTCCTTTGAAGAAGAAGTTGACTCAAAGATAGAAGGTGGTGAGGGATTTGATCAGATAAATGGACCCTCTTCAACAGAGACCATTGATAATGGTGGAAGCTCACCATCAAAGGGGCAGCAGCTGAAGAAGAAGAAGAAGCCATTACTAGGCAAGTTTGGAAGCCTGCTGAAGAAAAAGGGTGCTAGCAATCAGAAATAGAAAAACAAAATACTCACTTCTGGCTTCGCCTGTGGCCAACTATCAGGCAGGTATATTGGATATTAATTTGTTTGCACTTGTTTGCCTTCTGATTTTTACTTCTCGGAATAGCTTTTAAAGGTTCACGAGGTTTGTAATATGGTTGTAGGACCTTTTTTCCTTAGTTACTTTTTTTTTTTTTTTGGATGTGGTTCTTCATGTTGGCAGTAAATTGTATGTGATGATTTTTTCTTAATTCGTTTCTGGTCTTGTCCCTTGCCATCCAATTTAGATTTGACGAGAGAAGTGGCAAGTTGGATTGTATTTTTACTTCATCTGATTTCTAATGAATGTCTAGATAGAAGTTCCATATTTCGTTTCTGATGTTTACTTGGAAGTTGGAACCCCCTTGACGTATGGTGGGAATTATTATTACCCTCCAAATAATGCACACATTGAGATCATATTACTTATACGAAGTATCGACACCCAAATAGAAAATAAGGCCATGTTCAAGTTTCACAGTAGGCTTATCCTTTGGCATGTTTTCAAAAAGGCATCTGCTTAGTGGAGAACTTCAATTATTTTGCTTCTGGGGCTAATCAAGAGACAACAAGAATGTACTCTGAAGCTAGTGAAGTTGGGGATTGAAAGCATTTACCCCCTCATTGACCAATAATTCAATATCCAATATTAATATTAATACAACATATCTAATGAATGTTGTAGATATTTTACTATTTGGCAACTTAATATCTCTCTCTTCTTTCATCTCCCAAAGTCCAAACACCCCTCTCTACTGGCTCCGACCTGAATCTCCCTCTGCCCTGTTGTGTCAGGAATGAGGGAAAGGATTTATCTTTTTATTTTTATTCTGCTCCTGGTTTGATGCAGTATCTATTATACCTTTTTAATTGGTCAATAATGCATACATAAAGGTTGGTTTAATTGATAAGGATTTGATCTCTTGTGAGTTCAAATTTTATTATCAATGTGAGAGCTTTTATTGGTAGGGTATTTGTAAGTGTTTTTTGAGTCCAGTAGCATGTCTTGGTCCCATTGAGTGTTGGAGATCCCACTCACTTAAATTTTTTGAAATCAATAATAGGTCTACCATCCGTTGATTCTGGCATTCTTTTAGCAAAACTATCCAGTTACCTGTTTAATGGCTAATCCAAATACAAGCATTGTCGATCTAAATAGAGAGTTGCTTTTCTATTGTGGTTTTTGTCCATTGGCAATATTCAAACTCTCAACATTAGTGTGGGAGAATTGATTCTTTTGCGAAACCTCCTCATAGTTGGTAGTGTTGGTGGCATTTAACTAGTCCAGTTGTGAAATCATCAAAAGCTTATAAATGGAGTATTATATAGTTGTCATCAAGAAGTTAGGGCATCCGAACCAGATGAGGATGGCAACGAGGCTTGAATAGTTGAGATTTACGTAGGGTTCTAGTTCTGTGTTAAAATTGTAATAGGCCTATAACTCTCAAGTACTAATTTTTTGTTGATGGAAGAATTTTATTAGTAAACCATTTGTAAATAAATTTGTAAGCATTTTTTTTTTTTAAGTTCAAAAGGATGCCTTAATCTTAATAAACTTTCAGGATTCAATTTAGGTAAACTTTATTTTATTAAAAAAAAATATAATTGAGGAGAACTTTATACGGAGAAGATTTTATAATTTTTCATTCAAAATTGCAAGTGGCATGAGGAGGTATGAAAGTTGGTGAGTGCAAGTTTTCTATTGATTGTTGTATTTAGATGTTGCCCGTATAATAGTGAATATGTGTGTGTGTGTGTGTGTGTGTTTTGCCAAATAATGGTGAGGATTATGTATGAGGGACAACGACGTAAAAGTTTCCAAATGATTAATTAATTTAATTTAAATTTTGAGTATTAACTTTTAGAAATTTGCAAATTCAGGCGCTTAATTTTATAACTTTGTTATGAAGAATTTGTAACTTATATTTTAAGTTTTAACAGAAAAAATAAATTTATTTATTTTTCAATAATGTTAAAATTTTAAAAATAAATTATAAATTTATTACAATAAAATTATAAAATTGAGAGTTAAATTTGTAAATTTTTAAAAGTTGATACTTGAGACTTAAATTAAATTAATTAACCTCTTTGTCATTCTCCCTTAAGCAACATAAGACACATTTTTTTCATGCAATAAAAGGAGACACCTATTTTTTTTATTATAATATTGAATATTTATTTTGAGTCAAATAAGGATAAACAATATTTTTTCCCCAAAATTCCAATAACACTTTGATAAACAGTAATATTTCTATTAATTTAAAAAACATGCATACACAATAATTTTTAATAATCTTAAATGCACCCATAAACTCTCTGCTTAAGTAGGACACATAAATGTAAAACCATTGTACTAATATGCGTGCTTGCATGCGGGTGTGTTTTATTTGCATCTCTCAAACTTGAGACCTTATTTAAAGAGAACTATCACTCAAATCACTCAATAGTTACAACCACACATAGAAATTACATGATTTTCATAACTTAAGATTGCTTGGTTTGCAAGCTTTTCATTTTTGGTTGAGATGAAGTTTGGCAAGTTGAGCAACATTGGCAGCCTCCTGAATAGCCATGGAAACGAGAGAGGCATTGGCTGAAGCTTCTTGCTTGAGTTCATATTCAAGTGTTGTTTTGATGATGCTTGACTCTTCTCCTTTCTCTTTCACTTCAAATCGAATCTTGAATATAGTAAATCCTAATTCTAAATATGCTCCTTCAATTAGTTCATTTTCTTTTATTCGATTTTCATTGTCCATCTTTGTCACCTTCTCTTTGCAAGAAACTATTCCTGTTCCCAGTTTACCTATTTTCAATAACATTGGAAAGGAAGAGAAATTGGGTCAGATTAATTAAAATAATGGTAAGATTAACAACAACATCAACACTAGGCTCCTTCTTATTCTATTTATAAACTTCTTTTTTTAGAATATTTTTTTAATTTAAAATATAAGGTGTTTTGTAATATTATGTAAGGCACATGCCCATAGTATTGTTTTCAACATTGACCTCCATTGATAAGGCTTGGTTGGGCTCGGAAGTCCATGGATTTTTCATTTTTTAATTTAAATTTCTAATTATACTAATATACAATTTAACAAATTGTTATTTTTATATAATTCAAAAATTAAAATAAACAAAATAATTTCAACAACTTTAACCTAATAATTTTCAATAATTTCAATCACATATTAACTAGAAAAAAGAAGAAAAATGTAGTGCCTAAATGATGAGCCCGATCTGAGTTGTTCTTAATGGATTTATAAGGATTAGATCTAAAAATTAATTTTTACAAAAATCTCTCATTTTCAAGTCCAGCCTTAAAAAAAATATAAGGTCATGAAAAAGTATAAAGTTTAAATAGATAGTCCAAAAAACCTAGCTCATATTGATGACTCTACTTCTCTCATGTGTCTGGTTCTGAGTTCAAACCCTATATTGGGTGATCCCTCCCTCCCTCTCTTCTTTTCATTGGGGACAAAAAAGAAAAAAAAGACAAAAAAAATAAAGAATAAAATAATTACCAGGAACTATAGTTTTAAGGAAGATACTTCCAAGTCCACCATCACCTTCAACAAGCTCCACCTTCTGAAACAGATTTGGCATTTCTTTCTCCAGAAATCTTCCAAGTCGAACTGTGCTGAACAGATCCCACGTCTCTTTTGCTGGCACTCCCATCTCTAGCTCATGCTCTACACTCCCAAACATGTTCTTTATTTTTTTTTTCTCAATGATTCGGATACATATGCTGTTCTTTTATTTGCTCCTGACTTGAGTGGTTTATATAGGATCCCATTGAAAGATTGTAGGAAGAATTTCAAATAAGGGAATTAATTACTAGTGGGTCCCAAAAAATATGAAATTTTAGTTCAGTTTAGATGAATAAAAATGAAAATAATTTCAACAGTAAAAAGATCAAAGTACCCTCCACTTATTTTGTAGAATTACTAATTGTTAATTTTCTTATTTGCTAATTTACTAATATCACTTGTAAATTACATCAGTTTGTCAGACAAGCAATAACATTAGTTAAATTGCTAACTTTATTTATTAATTTACTAACATCAATTTAACAACTGATATTACTGCTTATGATTGAACAACTAATATTAGATTTTATATAATTATTAGTATATCAATTCATATAATTTACAACTCATATTAGTAAATTAATAAGTGAAGTAAGAAAATTAACAATCAGTGTTTCTACATAATAAGCCAAAGATACTTTGGATTTTTTACCTTCAAAATTATTTTCACTTTTAATCCTTAGACTGAACTGAAGTTTCAAAATTTTTTTGAGACCCACTAATATAAGTCACATTCTTGGTCTTTTTTGAAATTCTCCTGAGATTGTATGAGGAATATATATCACATACTTCCTTCGATTCAAAATATAAGCATTTCCTCTCAATTAATCTTGATTTAAAATATAAGCAATTTAGTATATGTAAAAAAATTTTTTTATTTTACCCCTTATATTTATTAACTTAAATATTTGTGTAAATACATCTCACACTCATCATAGAGTGAGTTGGTAATTGCAACTAGGAATAAAAAAAAATATATTTTTTATGAGAATGAGAACATTATTAATATGTGATTTTTTTTTCAAAAACTGTTTATATTTTGAATCGAAGGGAGTGGTGTCTAATAATTGCCAAAATATGTTACATTAAAAATTAAGGATTTGAATCTAATAAGAGGTGTGTTCCTTGTCGCACAATAAAACCATCAACTCAATTAAGCTGCTGCAAAAAGATTATCATATAATATTCAAGATATATTAAATTTCAAATTTTTGAAAAAGATAACGTACGTGATTGGGTGTTCTGATAATGGGAATTAATTTGAATTTTTTGAACAAAATATATTTTAATAATTTTTAAATATTAATAAAATTTAATAGTTATAATTAAAATATTCATGAATAGATTCGAGGCTCTTGCCAAATGAAAAGGTGTCTATGATGTCACGTTAGATTCAATTAACAGAAAGGCTAGCCGACATGCAATAATTATGAATACCGACTTTCAGCTATACCTTAACACCAAAATGGGAAAACCGGTTTAAACTTTATTCTACACATACATATCTGTACAGTTTGGTTGTGAAGCAAAATCAATAAAAAACTACTTGGTTAAGTTACAACTTGGAGCAGTTTAATAAATTTTGAAATACTAACGTTTGGTTAAATAATCTTTGAAATATTTTTTTTAAAATACTTGCTTCATTAATCTTAAAAATAATATTTAATCAAAATATTAGCATACAACATTTGTCATTTTCCAATAATAAAATTATTCACAATTTTATATACTTATTTTAAAGACTAACAATAATTCTCCATAAATTCAAGCATAATACTCGTGCCTAAACAATTGCTCCCCATGCAAATTTGATCGAACTCGTCTAACATTAAGTTTGTATAGATATTTAAATTGTTTCCACCCCCGTGCATTCTTTATGTATGCAATGTGAAACTTGGAAAACTAAGTATGTGTTGAGTTTTTAGTTTATAAAAAATTCATTTACTGAAAGCTTATTTGGCAAAAATTAGTTTAATAAAAGTTAGTTGTTGTAATAAAATTTATATTTGAATATATTTTTTTAAAAATTAATTTGATAAACTAAATGTTGTTTGAATTAATGATAAATTCTGCTTTTGAAATATATTTATGAATATGTAATGATAAAAAAGGATATTGATTTATGATAATTAAAATTTTTTATTATACAAATATAATATATTAGAAATGTGAAAAATATTAAAATAACATAAAATTTTATGTTAAATAATAAGAATAAATAATATATAGTTTAATACTGGAAAAAAATTAAAACATAATAAGGGTATTATATTCATTTATAAAAGTAAATACAACTCAACTCTCATTTGCAATTTTAAATCCACCAAAAAATAGAGTTAGCAAATTCACATTTAATCCCATCTCAACCCACATTTATACATAATAAGTGTGTGTTTGGTTATTTATACATGTGATTTATTAAAAAATTACTTTTAATTTTTTATATAAAAATTAGGGGTAGCATTGTCATATCAAAAATTAATGGATCACATTTCAAGAGCTAAGAAAAATTAAGTTGCACAAATTCACATTCAATAACTTTTTCAAAACACATTCATAAATGTACCTTCATTATATTTTTTATATTTAAACAACTTTTAACTTTTAAAAAGTGTCGAAAGAACTTTCTAAAAGTTAAAAGTTCTCAAATAGACCCTAACTCTTTGGGATTGTAATTCCAAATGTGATTTTATTTGATGAGCTGGCTCCTTCGTAGTAAAGGACTCTACATATGGATTATAATTCCATTACCCTTCTAGTGCCCAGATCACACTACCTTTACAAGTGCGTGGCATCTTCTTGGCTCCACATGTGTGTTGATCCTTAAGTGTTTTGGTTCACAAATCACTATAGCTCTTAGGGAGTCTAGATTTCTAACTTTATATATAAATGCAAATCCATAACTCTTTCAGCACACGTTGGCTCTGCATGTGTGCTGATTTGAGTTGGTCCATATGCCGTTCCATGGGTGAATCTCTATTATTACTAGAACTTAGTTCACAGGATCATTCGTTAAGTTATAAGATCAAGTGAAATCATCATCTTCAAAATATTTGGTTCATGGTGATGTCATTGTTGCACATGTACATGTCCCGCACTATGTATGCCAATTTTTGTTTGGCGTGTTCTTGTTGGGCACGCCAAATCAACCATTCCACAAATGATGTCTTAAATCTAACTTCCAAATCAAATGGTAGGTTCCTGAGTTCCTTTTCCATAATTTCCTCGGGTGCAAATTCCTAGAAAACATAGAGAACCAAAAGAAAGACATTAAGGTGACGATGATGCTATCCTACCGAATGCTAATACTACTACTACTACAAAAAAAAATCTTTTCATATCTCTTTTTTAGGATATTTCACATCCCTATCATGGGGGACATAGATCCAAGTGACATAAAAAATTAATTTATTCACATCACTTTTATGAGGGACGTGGATTCTAGAGAAACCACGTCCCTCTTTTGTAAACAGGGACGTGATTTCTCCTGAAATAAGTATTAAAATAATTTAAATTTAAATATTTATCATTCTCATTTTATCATTTCAACTAGTTATAGATTTCACAGATCTCAAAATTAAATAAAAGAAAAATAAAATTATATCAAAATTGATGAAGTAACTAAAGATAATAGAGAAGGCTCAATTAGAGGTTAGAAATATCTACAAAGAAAAAAAGCTTGTGGGTGAAAGGGGCACTAACTAAATATTGCTGGCTTAGGGAAAAGAGGAGGAGAAGCTGTGGAACTCGGCCGTGGGTCTTGAAGCTATCCGTCAAATAGGGGAAAGAGAAGGAGACGACGAGAAGAGAGAGTTGTCTATCCAATGCTCACCATTGAATGCTAGCCTTAGGTCTCTATTCAGTTTGTCGGCCATAAATCTCAATGTTGTGGGTCTCGATACAGTGGGAAGGAGAAGAGAGAGTTGTTTTGTGGAGGATATGAGAGATCTGCAGTGGGGGGAGAGGAGAGACGTGCTGCTGTTGAAGGGAAAGAGAGAGAGAAGTTAGGTTTTAAAATATAAAATGATGGAGCGAGGAAGAAGCTCGATTTGATATAAAAAAGCTCACTAAAATCCATATTGCTTTTTTTTTTAAAAAAAAAGAGACATGAAAAATATTCAAAAATTAATAATTAAAAATATCTTATTTTCTACAATCCACATTCCTTTTTTTTAAAAAAAATAACGTGATAAGTTATCACGTCCCTTTTTAAAAAAAGTGACGTGGTAAGTTACCACATCCTTTTTTTAACAAAAGGGACATGAAAAATGTCTAAAAATTAATAATTTAAAATATTTTATTTTTTAAAATCCATGTCAATTTTTTTAAAAAGCGACATGAAAAATGTTTAGAAATTAATAACTTAAAGTATTTTATTTTTTATAATCTATGTCCCCTTTAAAAAAAACGACGTAGTAATGCTTTTTTAAAAAAAAGAGACGTGGATAGTCTTACATATTTAACACTTATTTATAAAATTATTACCGCCTATATTTTTTATGTCACTTTTGCAAAAAATGACATAAATAGAGAAACGTAAAATGTATATTTTGTAGTAGTATATTTTGCTAGATGTAGGGGCTTGATGCTCTTTCATGATGCATGCTTGTCTATAAGAATTGAACAAATATAATTTTGATGTAGTGTCAGTACTTTGTCTTTCATTTATATTGGTTCATGTGTTGAAGGGATTGAAGAGTTTCATATGTTGTGTCTTGCTCTCCCCTTTTAGAGGGAAAGTGGTAGTTTTTTCCATAACCTCATATTCCATTTTCTTAGGGCCACTTGTTGTAGTTTTATCCAAACTTTCATTTCCTCCCATTTTTTAATTGGTGCATGGTAGGTGTGTTCATGGAAGAAGATAGGACCGGACCAGGACACCCTCGTCCTGTGTCCCGTCCCAAAAAGAAGATTAAGATTGAATTTTGATCCCGTGTCCCGTCCTGTTAAAAGTCGAGATAGGACTGGGACAAGATCGAAATGTCCCGCTGTCTGATAAATTGGATAATATCGAAAAAAGATTTAAATAATAATGTTCATTACAATTTTAAACCATGTAATTTATTAAGTTTAAAATCAAAACAACATAAGTACATGAATCACAACAATTTAAAGTTAATTATTAAATTATATTAATCACAACTATACATT